AAAAGTCATGTCGGACTTGGGCACGTGTGGCACATACAATGGAGAATATTTCAATTTGCTGTACAAGATACAGCTAACCCTCATTAACTCACATCAGCTTGGAGCTAGTTATAACTTAAACAGGAAAAAGGTGAGCTTGCCTTCGTCCTATGAACACAAGGCTTTGCCAAGATGATGGGCCCAGTAAGATCAAAGGAAAACATGTATTCTACAAAGGTGATCTCAAACTGAAATTGATGTTTGTTTCCAATTCATGGTGCTCCTTTAGTGGTATTACTGCCTTCTAAATCTTTGTTTCTCTACATGCATGCATACACACACACACACACACACACACACACACACACACACACACACACACCCTTGTTAATCTGATTATGAAATAAACTGGACAAAAGACTGCATGGCCTAAGCTGGGAGTCTGGATGGCCATTGGCCAAGGGCTCAAGATTTCTGTTTCACAAATAAGATTTCAACTCTTCATATATCCTATTTATAAACGCTTGGTTTGACAAAGATCAATTGTTCTTATTCATGATGATTCAATTATATTATTCGTATTAAACTGTTAATGCTCTCCCCAAGGAACTAAGTCGGACACCACTGTTTGCCCTCTGCTTTGTGCTACTAAAAGCATAAAAGTGCATTTTCTTTTTCCAGTACACAATTCAGACATGAAAAGTGCCTTCAAATCTTTAAGTGCTCCACCAAGGGAAGCTGCTGTTCCTTCCCTCTTCTGAGCAGCCTTCCCTATCCCTTCATCCAAATTCAGGACGGTTGGTTTCCTATGGAATCTGCTGAGTAGATGATGCTTCCAGGCAAAGTCTGGCTCACTGAGATGGTTCTGCCATTGGCATTCTGGAGGATGATTTTATTTACAAAAGATTCAAGTATTATATATTTTATATACAGCTCCTAGCAAAACACAGGTCTTAGCGTTATCTGTACTGTACTATACAGCTTCATGTCTGTCATAGCTCTAGCAATCACTGCTATGAAAAGACACAGTTTTCAAGCTGAAAGGAACTTTAGGGATGATCTGGTCCTGTTCCTTCCCTTTTATTTTTATAGATGAAGGAAGCCAGCATCAACCCTTCATCAATCTATTCAGCAAAGTACACAGCCTACCCTAAGGAAAACTGCTGAAGGAAGTAAATTTCACCATGGCAAAAGACTGCCATAAGACTCATGGGAAAAGAAATGCCAGAACAGAGGGGGTGGGTCTTCCAGTAGGTCCTAGACCCTTGGTCTTGGAAAGGATGGAATTTTGTAAAGGAAAATCTACCAATAAAAACCTCTATCTTCTTTTGTAAGGAGGCATGCAGTATTAGCTGGTGAATAAAGATGTAAGTAGCCAGGTAATTTTAAAGTATGAATGTAAGTCATACTTTGTGAAAAAATCAAATTCAAGGGCAGAAGGTAACACCAAACATGAGATTCAGCTCATTCAGTTATCTACACTAATGGAAAATACAGATTAACTCTAAGAGGATCTGATCCAAAATCATTTACAGCTATGGAATGCCTGATGATCATTTCCTATTATATCAAATCAGATTTACTTTCCCAGATATGCCATGCCTAGGTTAATATTTAAAGTAATTTGCATTTCCTGAGTATAGGCTGGCTGGACAAAACAGTCACAAGGATTACATAATTCCACTGGACGACTTCTACATCGATGAATTAGGAGAGTATCTGACAGCATATTGTAAATCATCAAGTATGGAATTTATATAGGTGTGTGTTTATGATTTTTGGACCAGGTCTGTAACGCCAATGGTGAAGACAGTGACCGGAGAGGAAACTCCCTCTGCCATTGCAAATTAACATCTGCTCTGCAGTTTCTCAGTCTCAGAATAACCTAGATGACTAAGACCTTAAGAGACTGGCCTAGTATCACCCACTCAGTATGAGTCGGGAGCAGGACCTGAACCCAGACCTTCCGGATTCTAAGGCTGGCTATCCCCTAGCTCATGCTGCCTCCTAAATCATTACAGAAATGCCATTCCTATTCCATCATCATCACTGGAGGATGGCGTTTCACACGGCCAACACCCTGACACAGAAGGACTGCCACTTGTAGTTGGCTTAAGCCACCGAACTATCTGGGTTTGGGCTGGTGAATGGAAGTAGCTCTCTTCCTCACTGTGTCCCCCACCTGCGAATCTCCTTTAATCTGAACCAGGCTATGTTAGGATTCAGGCCAACACCGTATTCCAGATGTAAACTTTCAGTAACGTATGAAGGACACATCCTCGTGAACTTCCAATTCCTAAATCGTGGATAAAGTCTGACTGATTACATAGGAATATGATAAGAGATGATTTAATTCCACACCCGAACAATGTTCTCTTTGGTTATTTTTAACATATGAAACGTCATAAACTCTTTGAGACAAAAGGGACTTCCAAAGTCCCCTGGTCCACTCCTTACCTCAAGCATGATACTCCTCAACAGCATCCCCAGTGAGGGAGCAGCTACCAGTCTTCCCTGTGAAGACCTCAAAGGCCACTGGGAAATCCCTAGGTCCATAGAGAATTGAAATCCCAGTAGCTGTGAATCCGTATTAATTCTTTAGTCCAGCAATTGCTCAAGACAAACATTTGTCTATGATACTAAGATTCTGTGATGAAATCAATTGAATGTGATTTAGGAGACGATCATCTCTAATCGAAAATGGAAATCAAGACCGGACCAAGTTTTAACTCAATCTTTGAAGCTCCAAAAGCCTTACCGTTATCATCTGGGCCAGTGATGGTCTTGGAGTACCAGTCAGATTAGTATTTTAACCACGAAGTCAAGGCTTAGACTACCAGACATACGGCTTCTGCTACTAAACTTGAGTCTGGCAGCCATCAGGAGTCAGAATTGGGATACCTCAGATTGACTGTTCCTGCGCCAGACTGACTGCCACAAAAACCAGCTATAGGAAGGACTGAATAAAAAAGAATCACATCCCCCACACAAGTAGGTGAGGCTGATGACCCACGGCTCCTCCCCTTTCCTACAATGTGGGCAACAGAACAACTTCCCTGAGTCCCACTCTGACTGACAACTCTGAGATATTATTCCTACCAGTGAGATTACTATATTCACTAGGCTTCCCATTGGACGGTCTCACCCTAAAACCAAGGATTACTGGATTACTGCCCACAAGACTTAGAACAATTGTCCAAAGAGTCAAAGGGTATAGAAATTAAACCCAGAAGGGCCCTGAGCAAGCAAATTCCTTCATGTTTCAGGTAAGGAAACAACAGCCCAAAGAGGTTCAGGGCTTTGCCTAGAAAGATCGCGCAGGGAGTAGGAAGATGATCTGGGATTTGGACCTCGGTTCTTGAAATCTAATTACAGGGTTGTTTCTAGCGCTTGGAGTACCTTACAATAGTAGCTGCTTCATGATTAGGTATATGAGAGAAAACATGAGACGTTCCTAAATATTCAAAAAGTGCTAAAAAACATTAATACCCATTTTAAAGTCAATTTTATGTGAATGAATTTGTTCAAAATCTGGATTAACAGATACACTGTAGTCTTAATATGATTGTAGTAGTGCCTCCTGTGACTGGAACACATTCCATCCTCACCTCCACCTGTCCAAATCCCTCAGTTTCTTCCCAACTCCCTCTCAATCCACCTCCTGCCTCAGGCCTTTCCTGACACCCCCTCCCCCACCCCAGCCCCTTCTGCCATGGCCTCCCCTTACAGCCACCGCAATACCTTGCACTTATACTTGGTAAAGATTTTGTCTTTCCCTAGAAGCGCACAGGATACGTCCCCAATACAAGGTGAGCTCCTGCTATTTGGGTTCTCCCTGGATCACCAGTGCCTCGCACAAAGCCTAGCACCTAACACATGTTCAATAAAGGCCTGGTCACCGGGGGATGACTGGCTCTATTTCTGCAGGTTTCCACATTCAGAACTCCTGCAGGCTTTGGCTCTTGATTGGATTAACTTCTCATTCTAGTATTTTACAGCCACCAGGCTCATCCCCTCAGCAGTGAGCTGGAAATATGACAACTCTTCTTCCTAAAAGCAAAATTGTCCATTGAGATTTTGAAATGTGTAGGGGCAGGAAAGACCCCACTTTGGCAAGCAAAGCCTGAATCACGCCCAATAACCACTGGGTGCTTGAAGCAAAAACAATTATCCTAAATTGCCACTAGATGGCAATCTTTCCAGTAGCTCTCTATTTAACCAAAATAATTACAAAAACAGTAGTAATAACAATATTGTTCACTTTTGCGTTAAAAAAATCCATATTTGGAATCTAAAAATCAAATCATTTACAAAATATTTAAAGCATTTTTTAAAGTCCTACAAAACATCATGCTATATTGTTAACCCATAACAATCCCTGACTTGGCTAATATTTCAGGATAAATATATGCACCATTCTTATAATGGCAAAATGATATCAAACCTTCATTTGGTTCTTGGTGGAGGATGCAAGATGTTTGACAAACATAATCCCTAAAAGCAATGCCGCGTTTCATTTCACCGCTGGATGCTTTACAGTGTTATATCTTGCAAGGATGAGTCAGGTGAAAGGTGACACACTCAGTACTAGACAGGAGCACTGAACAAAAAGAAATAAAGAGTAGATACATGTGAGAACTAGAGAAAGAAATTAATTTTTTTCTTACTTAGAAAGGGAAAGTAAAAATCCCAATGAAATATACATAAACGTATGTGTGTGTGTATATATGTGTGTATATATATATATACGTGTGTATATATATATCTATCTACATCAGATAGAGATCTAGACATGTAATGAAGGACAAAATGGGTTGAAAGTCTCCCTTCCCTATCAGTTCCACAGCCTATCAAGCTTTGGAAGTCCTCAATTCCAAACCTGAAGTCCGTAAGTTGGAAAACTTGTTCTCAAATCAAAAGGATAGTAACCAAGACACAGAACAAATTAGGATCTTCAGAAAAATCTGAAAACTCAGTCCAGTATTGAGGAGAGATGAAATAATGAGCAAAAGCAGGGTGGGGAGGGAGGGGCAGGCAGAGAAAGAAATCCAACTTCAAAGGAAGGGCTGGCTTGGTAGAATTCAGAGGTTCCCCAAGCAGCCAAATGTGTGACCGGAGGTAAGCATTCTCTTTTAAGGGGAGATGCTCTCTCATTTAAGGGTCTGTTTCACTATTATTAAAGAAGTATAAAAGAAGAAATAAAGCAAAGGTCAATTTGTACAAGGGAAGGGGAATGAGGTTTCAAAGTCATGCTGTGAAACTTGGAAGAAAGACCTCACAAGTGAAATGGCGATAATTCAAGGCATTCCCTACAGTCCTTGAAAACTTAAAAAAGTTTCCAAAATGAAATCCCCACTCTGGAAAGCTAGATATTAACAACCCTGAGATGGGTGTGCAAAGATGGTCAAAGGACCTTTTCAAATACAGCGACTTCCCTGGAACAGCAGTAACCTGCTGCAGAAGCATAAACCTGCCCCGCTGCCCTGCAGGAGATTTGTCTAGACCAGGAGAATGTTGACCCTGAAATTCCAGCTAGCGAGCTCTCTCCTCTCAAATTCTCAACACCAGACTAATGATTGCTGGATAAACTATGAAAAGAAAGTCTTGCTGGGCTCTGCATACATCTTTACGTACAGTAGGTGCTCAATAAGGACTTATCACAGTAACCAGAAGATAAGTGGGAGGGCTCAAAACACCTCACCACCTAGCAAGGGTTGTGCAGCCCCCCTGATGTACCCAGATTGAAAACTACGGTGAAATGATGCTGCCAAATCCCCATAAACAAGGCTCCATCTTCAGAAGGAGGCTACCAATCAGCTTACACATGAACCCACTACTTTAAAACCACAATCACTTCCATTGCTATTTACCTATCAAATATATTACCTATGTGAATTTACCATGAGCAAAATAGATAAAATGTCAGTCTACTCAATGATCAACATGGGAATGGGTGTCCCTAGGGGATACAACTCTCAGTTTGTATTGTGGTGTATAAGCTATCCAGAATAGGAGATAATAATTTAAAAGAACAACTTTGATCTTCACAGTGCAATAACACAAGGACAGAGACCGGTGGCGAATCAGCATCAGCGGGCTAACGTAGTGATCAGACTGGCGCACATTTCAAAAAAGTCCATGGTGTGGCTGCCCAGGCGCGGTGTTATAGAAGGCACGCTTCCTGTCAAGGAGCTGCTCAGGGATCCACCGGGAGAAGGGCAGTCGGCTGCGGTCGAATCGAAGCTCAGCCTCAGTCTGTGTAAGCCAGCCGCAGAACACGAACGTTGAGGCGTCGAAGACCCAGACTTCTGCTCCGCGACATCATCTGAAACGTACAAATGAACACAAACGACCATGAGACACCTCATTCTTAGGGTCCTTTTCTGAGGATGAGGTAAAATCAAGACAGTAAATGAACAAAGAAATCCACCAGAAAAGACACCACTCTGAATTGCTGGGATTTCTATACGTTATGAGAATTCACAAATATCGACCATGCTTGGAAGTGGCTTGTTGAGTGGAAATGAGATCCACCCGTTTCTGCTAGGTTTCCTTCTACATCCCTCTTGCTCTTCGTGGCTAAACTCCTTGGGAAAGCCACCTACAATAGGAGCCTCTACTTTTTTCCTCTCGCTCTCTTCTTAACTCAAAGTCTGGCTTCTGACCTTCTCATTCAACTGAAACTGCTCTTTCCACAGTTACTAATGATCCCTTACTTGTTACATCTAATTTCTCCGTTCTCATCCTCCTTGACCTCTCTGCAGCCTTTGATACTCTGATGACCTTCTTCTCCTTTATACTCTCCCCTCCCTAGGATTTCGTGGCAGTACTCTGTCTTGGTTTTCCTCCTACATGTCAAAGCACTCCTCCTCCTTCGTCTCCTCTGCTGGCTCTTTATTCAGGTCATTCCAGCTAACAGTGGGGGTCCCCCAAAGCTCTGTCTGGGGTCCTCTTCTTTTCTCACTCTATACTATTTCACTCGGGTGACCTCATCCGTTCCCATGGTTTCAATTATCATCTATGTGCTGATGACTCTTAAGATCTGCTTGTCCAGTCACAACGTTTCTGTTGACCTCCAGACTAGGATCTCCAACTGCTTATTAGACATCATAAACGAGATGTCCCATAGACATCTCAAACTCAACATGTCCAAAACTGAACTCGCCTTTCCTCCTAAATCCTTCCATCTTGCTAATATCCCCACGACTGTAAAGGGGACCTATCACCGTCTGGACAATCCCGTGGCTTACAGCCTCAGTGCCATCCTCCATCCCTTCTCTCATCTCCCATATCCAATCTGGTCAAACTCTTCTAATGTGACCTCCTCTCTGTCTGACCCTGCCACCATACTGGTGCAGGCCCTCAATCACCCTCCTGGACCATGACAACGGCCTTCAGGTTGATACCCCCCAACATGCCTCTCCACGCTCCAGTCCACGCTGTATACAGTCCTCATTCATCTCACGAAAGCACGGGTCTGACCACATCACACCACTCCCATTCAATAAACTCTGATGGCTTCCTATTCCCTTGATGATCAAATATACAGTCCTCCGCTTGACTTTCAAAGCCCTTCACACCTGGCCCCATCCTACCTTTCCGGTCTCCTCACACCTCACTCGCTTCCACGTACTCTACGATCCAGTCTCCCTGCTGTCCCTCAAACACAAAACTACGTCCCTGGACTCAAAGCACTTTCCCTCCTGCCTGGACGCTGTCTTCCAGCCTCTGTGCCCCCGGCTTCCTTTAAGTCTCAAAGTCTCACCATCTACACAAAACCTTTCCAAGTTCTCCTTAATCTTAATTCCTTCCCCGAGACTTCCCCAATTTATTTTGTAATCTCTTGCTTGTACAGAGTTGTTTACATGTTGTCTCCTCATGAGACCCTTGAGAGCAGGGACTGGGATGGTTTTGGGGTTTTGCCTTTCTTTGTATCCTCAGCAGATGCTTAATAAATGTGTACTAACTTGACTAGAAACAGCTCCAGCCTTGGAGTTAGGAGAACTCTGAGTTCAAATCCTACTCCCACAATTAGTAACGGTTGTTATCATTAGCAAACCACTGAGCTTCTCTAAAGTTAAGATTCCTCACATAAAAAAGGACTGCAATACCCACCTCCCAGGATTATTGTGATGAGTGCATGAGTCAATGTTCATGCAAAAAAAAAAAAAAAAAAAAAGATCAGCTATGATGGTGATGGTGATGATTTAAAATCTCTTATCATTCAGGTCATTGCAATGATCCAGGTAAAAGGTGATGAGAGTCTGTTAGAGTAGTGAGAAGAGAACAGATAAAGAGATGTTCTGGAGGCGGGTATGGCAAAATTGGGCAAATGATTAGATACGTGAGGAGTCATGTAGAATGCTGAGGATGCAAACTTGAGAGACGAGGAGGATGATGCTACCTTCAGTCACAACAGGGAAGGATGGAAGAGTTTTGCTTAGTGGGAAAGGTAACAAACTTGGCAAAGCCACAAAACACAAAATTAACTCACAAATGTCATCTGCATTCTTGTTTGTTAGTGATAATGGTAAAAAAAAGGAGCCATAAAAGACCCATTTACAACAAGAAAAGTCATCCACCATTGGAGCAGAGATGAGCAAGGAGAGCTCCAGGCCTGCATCCAGGACATATGCAGAGAAGAAAGCTAAACAGAGTCTGACGAGGTGCCTAGATTTGGGGAGGGAAGGTTTCAAAAAAGAAAACTGAACGACTAAAACTCTACAGAGCAAATTGGCTCAAGAGGGATGGGATGCACTCAAAAATGAAATTCCACTGACCAGCATAAATTCTTCCACTAAGTAAGAAAAGTATTAGCTGTCGAAAGATTCTGGTATGAATGCACTGAAAACACAGCAATCAAGTAAGTTTTTAAAAGGCATGCACAAAAGACCGAAGGAAGAGTAAAGAATTAAGAGTAATTATATGAGGGACAGGATCCTATAAGAATGCCAGAATCCCTAAACTCCGAATGAGCTGAGAGGTAAGAGGAATGCCAAGAATCAAAAGGACTTTGTAACAGATCAAAGAGGGGCTCTGGATGGATGAGATGATATATGTGATCAAACTAGAAAGAAGAACTACTCCATTTTAATTTGGCTTCTGTGTTTTTTTTTTATTACCAAAGAAAATGATCGTAATACTGGTAGATATGGGGGAGGGAGAACGGTCAGCAGGGAATTGGAACCCAAGATATGTAAGGATATGAGGAGGTGGTAAGAGAACACCACCTTTATTCCCCTCAATGATGTTGACTCAATAGGTGTGGACAAACAATATCCCTTGGTACCAAAAGAACTTGAAGATGTGATTGCTGAGTTTCTGCAAATGATCTTTGAAAAATCATGAAAGCGCTAGGTGCCACAGGCTAGCACGCTAATGCTGAAAAAGAGAAGAGAGCAGATTCTTCTGCCACAGTTTGAGGTGTCTGAATTTGATTCCGAGAGAAATCTGAAACTGAGCATTAAAGAGAGAGTTTGTGAGTAGCTAGAAAGGAAATCGAGGATTGCCATAAACTAGCAAGGGTTTATGACAAACCAACACCATTTTCTTTTCTGATCGGGTCTCACTGGTGATAGAGGAGAGGAATGCTATGGAGAGCTTACACCTGACCTTCAGGGAAGCACTGCTTGTGAACAAGACTGGTTGGATGACTGGATCAAGGATGCATGGTCCATGCCAACATGGAAGAAGGCCTCCGGAGTCACTGGCCCTGCTGTGGTCAATATCTTAATAAAGAAGAGAGCATGTTTAACCAACCTGTGGGTAACGTGGAGCTGAGGAGGCTAGCGAACATATTAGTTGGCAGAGTCAGGATCCAGAAAGACCTAGAACTATGCAATGAATCTTAAAATTAAGTAATGATAAATATAAAGGAAAAACCTGGATGTAAAAAAACTAAATGCCTGAGTATAGCAAAAAGGAGGTATGATTATACAACAATTAATAAAGAATAAATGGGGATTTTAGTGAATTGCAAACTCACTCTGAGTCTACAGTGCAATGTGGAAGCCACAAAAGATCTAGGTGATTTTAGGGTATATTAACAGAAGGACAGCATCCCAAAGGGATGGATGTACTCAGCCCCTCTGAGGTCCTCTAGTCAAGGCTAGATATTGCATTTTCTAAATATCATTGACAAGATGGCGCATAAACAGAAACTGGCCAGGGTCTGGTGAAGAAACCTGAATCCCCCCCCCCCCCCCCCAAAAAAAAGAGTATCCACTGAAAGCCTAGAGCAGGGGTAGGGAACCTGTGGCCTCAAGGCCACATGTAGCCTTCTAGGTCCTTGGGTGCAGCCTTTTGACCAAGTTCAAGTTTTACGGAACAAATCCTTTTACTAAGGAGACTTGTTCTGTGAAGTTTGGATTCAGTCAAAGGGCCACGCTTGAGGACCTAGAGGGCCACATGCTCCCCACCCCTGGCCTAGAGAATGGAAGACTAAGGAGTCACATGAAGATATCCTTCAGGTATCTGAAGGGCTTGCACATGAGTTGTTCTGCTTGGTCTTGGAGAGGACCCCATCCACTCAGGGGTAGAAGTCATAAGGGAAAACTTCCTAACAAGCCAAGAGCAGACCCCAGAGGAGAAGCGGCTGCCTCAGGAGGGAGGGGCCTTTCAGCGCTGAAGGTTGTGCTGCACATGCTTGATGAGCAAGGACAATGACTACAAAAGGAATTCTTGCCCAGAACTGCAGAGATGGGTTTTTAAAGAGAGGAGACAAAGCGATTAGCAGCAGAGCACAGCAAGTGTGCCAGTGAAGTACAGGAAATGCCAGAATTTCAGAGCTGAAAGGAGCCCCGGAGGTCATCCCCTCCCACACCTGCACCAACCGCTGGATCCCCCTACAAGAGCCTTCTCCGTGTAAAAGTCTCGGGAAGAGAGATGAAGATAACACAGATGCCTTTGTGGGCACCGTTGTGTGTACACCGAGGCAGCTCCCATCTGATTTTATGCCTATTCAGAATTCTTGTGAAAGACTGTCATTTTCCAGACCTGAAGGGTGCTTTTCATTTCTTTGAACCTCCTTCCATTCTGTGTTTCTTTGGTTAGAGAGCACACAATCACGGATGGCAGATGCCATTCTCAGAGCTGGAAGGAACTGGGAAGGCCATCTAACCCAAGCACTTCCTTCATGGATGAAGAAATCACAGACCAGAAACATTAAGTAAAAAGGCAATCGGGGTCTGAACTCAGATCCTGACTCCAAACGGCCTTCTCCTTCCACTCTCCACGCCAACACGCTGTCCTTATACAGGTGTGAGGTTTTAATACACTAAATTGCTGCCAAACTCCCTCCCACGGGGTGCCTGAGCGGGAGTCAGACCCTGGCCAGCATGGCCTCCTTACCATCGATACTTTTGAAGTCCAGAAGGTAACTTCGATTGTCCACCTGGTATAGCTGAAGGCTCATTTTCACATAATTGCCAGTCATGGGGTTCTTTCTTCTTACTCTAAGATGATACGCATTCACCACCTACAACATGGAACCTTCTTTTAGGTAAAGGATGAGTACAGAAAATGCAATGCTTCCCCTTTACTCTATGAGAAATGTTTAGAATGCACTGTCAATAAGGAAAAAAACATTCTTAAATAACCTTTCAGTTCTATAGGATATTTTCTCAGGCTATTCTCAGACTCCCCTCTGCTGCCACACTCCCTCCATCTACCCTTGAGCTGCAATGAGAAAAGGCCTTAAAGTCCAACTCATAAGGAACATATATTAAATCACAGGATCGTGGAATAATGCTGTGTGCTGATGCATTGGACAGAATGCTAGGTCTAGGATCAGGATGACCTGAGCTCAAATCCAGTCTTAGACATTCACTAGCTTTGAGGCTCTAGCAAGCCATTCAACCTCTGTCTGCCTCAATTTCCTCATCTAAAATATGGGGGAAAACAACAGCACCTCACCTAGTAAGGATCAAAAGAGATAATATTTGTAAAAACACTTGTATAGATGCTAGCTCTAATTATTTATTACTATCATCATTATTAGAAGGGAAGAAATATACCTCATTTTTCAAAATGTTACCACCCACCAACAACATAAAGCATATATCATATGAATAAATGAAGTCAAAAAAATTAAAGAGAATTACCAAATCAATTGGGAAAAATAAGCTCATTTTTAGAAAGGAATTTTAAAAATAATGATATTCCTTTTTAGATGAAACAAGAAGGAAAGAACTCTCTACCTACCACCTTTCTCATTCTACTCAGAAAAGAGATGGGGGAAGAATTTAAGAGAGCTCTTTGAAAGAGTTTCAAAAAATTATTGATCCACATATATAAATGTATAAATATTGAAACAAATAGTATTTCTTTCTTCAAACAAATCAATTAAGCATATGGCAAATTTTAGATCATTTCTTCCTTTTCATTTTTTATTGAAAGAAATAAGGAAAGTGTCATTATTAATTCCCAAAGGGAAATGGAAAATGGCTTTCTAAAATGATAAAATGCATTTGACAAGTATTTGAATGGAATCTGAATCAATCAAGAACAATTTGGCTTTTTTTTTTACTTTTAATGGCAAAATTTGTGCTGAGAGTGTGCAAATCATATGCACCTGAAAATCTGTCAGGTTTTCTCAACAGAGAGAAAAGCATCCATCCCCTGAAGGCAAAACCAATGGCCTGGGGGGGAGGGGGTAATAGGTATGCTGTCCACACACTCACTGCCACAGCCTCCTAGCAAGTGAATCCTTTAAAGAAAGAAAAAAGAAAAACATACTATCTGTGGAGTCTCAGGACATGCAATTGCTGGAGCTCAGGCTGAAACAGGTGAGCTATTTTCTCAGGTGTTGTCAAGTTGATAAACATACTTGGCAAGGGATTCTCCACTAGAATTAGAAATATGGACAGTTTTCCAGCATCGCCCAGTTCTGTAAAGAGAAATGTTTGTCTTTCCACCCTGACAAAAAGAAAGGATTATAAAGAAGAAGAAGAAGAAGAAGAAGAAGAAGAAGAAGAAGAAGCAGCAGCAGCATACGGCACATCATTAATAAGAACGGGGCTTATTAGCCAAAACTATTAAAATCATTTTAAGTACATGTGAATTAGACACAGTTAAGATGCCACCAGCTAGTAACTCACTGTGCTGCTGTTCACTGACCTCATGACTCAGTTCATCAGCTCAGACTGACACACCATACAGGGAAATAATTTATGAGAAAGGGTCAGGAATCACAACTATGTCCTACCTTCCATTCATAATCCAGCTGCTTCATAGCCCGGTAGACTTCATTCATGATATCGTAGGGTTTGCTTTGACTGCGAATCCCCAGGTGCCACTTGGCTTTTTTCACAGCTAGAGATTTGGGCTTGGTGGTATTCAGAGCATCCAGCGGGCATTTGGCCTTGGGGCTGTCTGACACTAGAGGTGGCATCCGTTCAGGGTGCGGCTTCAGCCCGATGGGAATGTGCATGGTGCTGTCATCCATGAAGGAGCCGGTGGGCGGGCTGGAGGCAAGGTAGAACTCGCTGGCCTGGTTCATGATTCTCCGGTTGTCGATGATGAGATGGTAAGCCACGGCCAGCTGGTCTTGAGGGTCTCCACTGTACAAGCTGTTTATCACCTCCGACTCTGTGCACTCAAACTTTTCACACACTTCCTTCACAGCTTCATCATCGATGACGTTCGCATCATAGGAAGGGTCTTCAGGAAACAAATAACTGGGTAAGTCTTGTTTAAACCACTCATGCTCTCTAGGAAAAATAAAAGGTCATGAGAATAGGAAAAGTGGCTTCGTGGAGAGAACGGAGAACGGGGCTCAGCAACGAGAAGATGTGGGTTCAAGTCTCTCCTTTGGTTCATCCTGGTTTTGTGACTCCTTTAAATCACTTACCATCTCCATGCCCCCAGGAAACTATCTAAGACTATAAAGAGAAGAACAGGAGCTGACCTGCAGCGGTCTAGGGACTTCCCTCATCCGGCAGGAGCCAATGACAACAACAGCAACAAAAAGTAAGCTGTGCTTTGGAGGCCCTGGCCTAATTCAGAATTATTCAATAATAAAGGCTCATTAACATAAATTACAATTATTCAAATATGTAATAAGGGGTCTAGTAATTAAAACATCAAAGGAACTTTTGAACCAAAAGGTAAGAACAAATCCATCGGCATCTCAACATTTAATACTTCATAATGACAACAGGCACTAAATAATATTCGTTAATGACTAAGCATGGTATTCTTTGATTTTAAAGTGGAACCCGCTACACAGTGATGGTGCCCCACCTTCCCCAGACTCTCTCTGCTGCTCACTAATCCCTCATCGCCCCTCTTAATGAATGACTCCCTATCCTTCCCTACAGGCAGCTACGTGGTACAGAGGATGGAGCGCTGGGCCTGGAGTCAAGAAGACTCATCTTCCTGAGTTCAAATATGGCCTCAGACACTTACTAGCTGTGTGACCCTGGGCAAGTCACTTCACCCTGTTTGCCTCAGTCTCCTCTTCTATAAAGTGAACTGGAGAAGGAAATGGCAAACCACTCCAGCATCTCTGCTAAAAAAAAAAAAATTAAAAAAAAACAAACAAACCACAAATGGGGTCACGAAGAGTCAGAGATGACTGAAAAATGACTGAATTGAATCTTTCCCTACAACAATTTTCCCAAGCTTCTTCCTCTCCTTAAAACTCCAGTGCTTGCCTCCATGCCGTCCCCCACTACACACACACACACACACACACACACACACGATCATGACTCAGTCTTCTACTTCATTGAGATGACTAAGGCCAGACGACCCATGCCTCATCAATCATACTTCTTTTGCCCACATTTCTCCCACATCCACTGCCTCTTCTCTCTCTCTTTCCCTCCTTCTCCTCTAGCTAAGGCCTCCGCCTCTGCCCTTGGATCCACCCCTTCTCTCCTCTCCAGGATCCTGCTCCAACAAGCATCACTCGCCTCTCGTGCACCTTCAGTCTCTTCCACTCCAGGAAGCTTTTTCTTCCCATACGTCCGTGCACTTTCTCAAATCTCCCCTGCCCCCACGCTGCTCTCTGCATGCTCCCACACTAGCTAGGTACCAGCCTCACTGACCCTTCCTTGCTAAGCTTCTTTTTTTTTTTTTTTTTTTTTGCTGAGGCAATTGGGGTTAAGTGACTTGCCCAGGGTCACAGAGCTAGTAAGTGCTAAGTGTCTGAGGCTGGATTTGAACTCAGATCCTCCTGACTCCAAGACCAGAGCTCTATTCACTGCGCCACCTAGCTGCACCCCCCCAGCTAAGGTTCTTGAAGAAGCCGCCTACAGCTGACATCTCTGGTTTCTTACCACCCATCGCCATCAGCAACTCCAATTCTCCAAAACCTGCTATGACTTAGTTTTACTCCTTCCCAATCTTTACCCGTCACTCACACCGCTCCACACACTGAACCTCTCTTCTCAATCGTCAGATCTAAGGCCTTCGTTTCAGCCATCCTCCTCGACCTCTTGATGGCACTCGACTCTACTGACCCAACCTCCCCAAGCCCTGGAGAGGATGCTGGGACTGGAATCGGGAAGACTTGGGTTCAGAATCCTGCCCCAACACTCGCTCTGGGAAAGCTGACGAGTCGCTTGTCCTCTCTGGGTGGGCCTGGCCTCAATGGCCTCGAAGGTCCCTTCCAACTCCAGATCGATGATGCTGGTGGACTTTCTCCTGAGATGTTGCATTCTGCTGGTTTCTCTCACCTCTCCAACCAAACCTCATGCCTCTTTTAATGCCTCGTTTTCCTCCTCCCAACCAATCCTGAAGGTCATGACCTCCATTCTCATGTCTTGTTTCTTGACAGTCTATGACTACCATTTAATTTCTGGATGCTTCCTCATCAGTATCAAGTTTTGTTTTGTTTCCAGCTCAGACCTCAGTCTGCCTTTCTGCACCATTGCCCTCTCCCGTCCCCACCCTGCCCCACGCCCCTACTTCTGCTCTCAGGGGCCAACCGAACCAGTCCAGCCTCCCTTGGCCACGACCACACGTCTATGAGAATAAAAATGATGGAGGCTGTGTTTGTAGGTGCCGAGATCACAGGGTAGAACTTATGATAAGCTTGGCTGTGATGATGAGTCTTGTGGAGGCTTACCTGTCCACGGGAAACTAATCTCAAACCAGTTTGCTTCATGCACACTATTAAACAACTCTCAGGAAAGATGGCTTTCTCTCACTAACACTGCCCTGATTTTGATATAGAATGGGAAATCCAGCCTAGAAAGGTTATGTAAATCACCTCTCAAAACTGAGAAATCCCCGCCCCTGCACCACAGGCAATTTGTAAACGTCAAGAAAGGTCATTCCGTCCGGTTGTTCAGCTGTGTCCCACTCTCCTTTACCCCGTTTGGGGTTTTCTTGGCAGAGATCCTGGACTGGTTGGCCATTTCCTTCTCCAGCTCATTTTACAGATGAGGAAACTGAGGCAAACAGGGTTATGTGACTTGCCCAGGGTCACACAACTAGTAAGTGTCTAAGGCCAGATTTAAACTCATGAAGATGAGTCTTCTTGACTCCAGGCCCACTACACCACCAATCTAAGCCAAATGAATTAATAAATGAAAAAAAAAAATTTACAATAAAGAGAAGGGACTTGTATGCAATCATGCCTTGCCAAATCAAGATTTTCTCCACAAAATTTAAATATACATATATAGTACATATGTATATATAAGTATATATGTATATGTGTGTGATTATATATATACCTGAAAGCTACAAATCCAACACTTAAAACTTTCTAAAATTGACTCTAAAGTCAACTTACGTTTCAAGGTTACAAAAATTTGAAAATAACTCAAATTAAATTCCTGAAATCAAGTTACTTTACAAAGTTAATATTGCTGAAGAATGAGATATGTGGTGGTTTTATACCATATATTTGATACCATTTATTGCACCATATTTACCTTCTGTTTCCTCCTCCTCCCTTCCCTAATGCTAAAATTATCCATCATTTTAGAAATTTATACAAGTTAACGAAATTGTAATTTATAAATTGTTGTTTAAAAAAAGACAGCTCCTGCTTATAGATGTCTTGGTGTGTACAGCAGTAGGCAGAGATGCACGAGTCTTACAAAGTCAGGTCCTTCCTTTGCAGATAACGTACCTTCAAAAGGTCCTTTCTGACGTGTTCATTTCCAGAACTCCTTTTTTTGCTTTTTGGAGAGGCAACTGGGGTTAAATGACTTGCCCAGGGTCACACAGCTAGTAAGTGCCAAGTGTCTGAGGCTGGATTTGAACTCAGGTCCTCCTGACTCCAAGGCCAGAGCTCCAACCATTGCACCACCTAGCTGCCCCTCCAGAACTAACTCTTACAACTTGAACCTCTCTGTTTTCCTCTGTATTTAGATCCTGACCCTGGTGGGGAGGGGAGGAAGGAGGACACCCCTGAGCTTCAGAGGAAGGCTGGGCTCTGCCAGGGGCCGGGAGGGCAGTTGGGCCTGTTCATAAAGGAATACTTAAAGACCCTTTTCTTGGCCTGCTGCCTGCTCAAGCTTTCCTCCTGGGGCTTTCTTCCGCTTTGCTGCTAAATTTCTAAAAAGGCTAATCTACGTCCCATCTCACTCCTGACTAACCACCTCTGCAGGTGACGACTGTGAGACGCTGGGAACGGGGTGGGCGGAAGCCCGAGTCAGAGCGAGCTTCAAAGAGCATGGGGCCCAGCCTGGCCCTGAGGATGGAAGACCGCCAGGGAAGACCCAGGAAGGGCTGCCAGGGCTGGCCCATCCTGCTCTGGGGTGGCTTGAATGGCGTGGTTCTTCCTCACGTCGAGCCGCAGCTGGCTTCAACAAACTCCCCCAAGTGTTCCTAGTTCTGTCCACCAGGACTGAGAGAACACATCATGCGCCGCTTCCCCACAAGAGCCCTGCACACAGGTGAAAGCAGGGGTCGTGCCCCTACTCACACTTCTCTTCTTCAGGCTAAACAACCACTTTGCCCTTGGACTGGTCCATGCCAGGCATCATCTCAAGTCTCCTCACAATCCTGTTGCCATTTTTGACTGACTTCCATTCATCAATGCTATTCCTAAACTGTGACCCCTATGGCTGAACACAATATTCCAGATAGAGTCTGACCATGGGAGGGAACAAAGTGGGGGAGGGGGAGAAAGGGGAGGTGGAGAGAAGAGGAAGAAGGAGAAGGAGGAGGGGGGAGGGGGGAGGGAGACAGAGACACACCAGGAAGGTGGGGGGGGGGCGGGTGTCTTTCCCCAAGACTTTGTCTCGTTTCTTACTTTACAACATTTCCCTTGCAGACCTAGCCCACTTTCATGATTTTGATAATTACCTCTACTCCCAATACTCCCTGGCTTATTCTTAAAGCTCTACTATTTGCTCTGAGCTCTAGGCACTCATCTTCAACTGCTTGCTGGCAGCTAGGGGGCTTAATGGATAGAGCACCAAGACCAGAGTCTATGCTCCTATGTTACTTTTCCTTCCCTTCCCAGAGTCAGGAAGACCTAAGTTCAAATCCAGCCTCAGACACTTACTAGCTATGTGACCCTGGACAAGTCACTTAACCTGGTACCTCAATTCCTTCAACTGTAAAATGGGAAGATAATAGCATCTATTTCCTAGGGTTGCTGTGAGGATCAAATGAGATTGTATTTGTAGAGAGCTTGGCATGGTGCCTAGCACCTAGTGGGCACTCTATAAATTTTTATCGTATAGGCCTTTCTCCTAATGCCCCCTCTGTCCTGCCTGCCACCTTCTCATCTGTCTGCCAAAATAATTTTTTGTCTTCAGAGCCAGGGCTGGTGCCAGTTCATCTGCAAAGTTTCCCCTGATTCTCCACCCCACACCCACCCCCCAGCTGAGAGTGACCTTCCTTGTATTCCTCTGGGTCTTTTTTCTAGATGTCTCCTTCATGCCCATCACATCCCACCTTGTTATCACACTGTGAATGTCTGTCACAGCATTCTCTCATTGGATTGTAATCTCTGAGAGGCAAGTCAAACGGCACTCATTAAGCACCCAGTCAGTGCCAGGCCTTGTGCTAAGAGAAGGAACAATGTTGTTGTTCCTCTTTGTATATCCACTGCCTGGCACACAGAGGTGCTTCATAAATGTTTATCGAATTGAGCACACACAGCACTGTTATGGCAGACTAACTGTTAACACAGTAAACAAATACTACAGCCACCACTTACATCCTCCATGGGTCAGGTGTCTTAAAATAGGCATTCTAGTTTGTGTAAGTCAAGGATGAGGATCTAGAAATACGTCCAGATAATCTGTTTGTAAACCAACACCTGCTGAAATGGTAGGCAGGAACAAGAAACCTCTGAGGGCTCTGACATGAGGAGATGCATGCATTGGGGAATGCCTCACCCTGGCATGTGGGCACTATAAAAAGCTTCTCCCCATCGGTTGCCAAGCCAGCAACTGCACTTTCCAAAGCCTCTCCCATATCAGCCTTCCACAGCAAGCCCACCAGCAGCTATTTAAAGAGTTTAAACTCAGCAAATATCTTTGTGTTTAATTTATTTAAATAAAGCTAAGATCTAGAAATTTATACCCATCTACCGGGCTGAGATGGCAGTAACAAAAAACGTAAAATCCTCTTAACAATGGTTACTGAATTGAAAGGGGCACAGTAAAAACCAGCAGTTACCTTATATCTTTGATGGTTGCTCGTTTCAAGGGATCCACTTGCAACATGTGCATGAGGAGAGTAGCAACAGAACGGTTTAGATACTCTGGGATGTAAAAAACACCTCCCCGAATTTTCTTAAACAACGTTGGGACGTGTTCATCATCAAAGGGCAGCGTACCACAGAGGAGGGCATACAGAATCACACCGCAGCTCCAAATGTCAACCTCAGGCCCCGCGTACAACCTGAAGGAGAGATGAGGGAGGGGGACGCTGAGAGGGGCGTGGCAGGTGGGCTCTACTCACGGACCACCGCCCAAAACCACCCCCACCAAATAGCACTGTCGATTCCAACGTCTTGAACTCCTTGGCCACCAACCTCTTTGTCAACATGTTCTCCCACCAAGAAGAGCTCATCCAATCACAAACAACGCTGTAACAAAAAGACTCACGTGACAAAACAACTTCCAAGCCGTGGCCTGTTTCAAAGAAAAGTTGGTACGACAAAATCCCAGTAGGTGGAAGTATATAGAGAGCCCTTTGGGGTTTACTGCTACAGCCATGGACAGTCAGAAGAGGAGAGCAGGCAGAGCGCCGTTCTTAAGTACTTCAAGTTCACTTTGCCTCTCTGGGCTTACTGCAACAACAAAGCGAGAGAGCCCCCAAAAAAGGTACCGAATCCTGCATGCCTTTTGGCTCAGCCATACCACCGCAGAGTCTGTGCCTCAAAGAGATCCAAAGAAGAGGAAAAGGACACAAGGATGTACGTATGTTTTACAGCTGCTCTTTTTTCATGGTGGCAAAGGAAATGGGTACCCATCCACTGAGGAATGGTTAAACAAATTATGCCACAGGGATACTACTGTTCTGTAAGAAATAGTGAAAGGGATGGTTTCAGAGAAACCTGGGAAGAGCTGCATGAAATGAAGCAGAGGGAAGGGGCCTGAAGAGCAGGACCGATGTAACAATATACACAACACAACACTGTAAAGACAAATAGCTCTGAAAGGCTTAAGAACGCTGATCCACACAAGGACCAACCACAGCTGCCAGAATCTGATGATGAAGCACACTGCCCACCCCCAACCAGCAGAGAAGTGGAGGACTCAAGAGGCGGCAGGAGGAGACGGACTAGTGCGCGTGGCTAATGGGGGAACTCCTTTGGCTTGACCATTCATATTTGTTACAAGGGGTTCTGGTTGAATTTTTTCCTTGAGAGGGGTAGAAGGGAGAAAAAATAAATCTTGACTGAAATAAATGAAATTTTAAAAAACAATAAGACGATAATTTGACTTATATAATCTCTAAGATTTGGCCATCTCTAACAATCTATGATTCTATTACAGAAGTGACTTAGCTCACTTCATCCTGAATACATCTTCCTATTATTCATTGTTCTCAGTGGCAACCTGGGCTTAAGATTACATTTAAATATGCACGTATGTGCCATCTGGGGGTTAGATCTTTACCTACAGGTTAGCTATGTTTACATTTACAGTATTATTATTCCTTTTTACTCTCATTCTCTTTCTCACTCTCACACATACACATACACACAACACATATGACACATATACGCATGCACGCATACACACACACACATACACACACACACACACACCACATTACCATTGCTTAGACACCACTGGCACACAACAATCTCTGATAATTAACTATGGGCCTACAATTCCAACAAATGAATCTAACTATTTATCGTTTAGAATGTGTCTTGCCTTCCTGTCCAAACTACCCGCCTTGTTGCCTGCAACAATGGGTAACTACTGTTTTCTTTCCTCAAATGATTTCTTTCCACTTACAATAGAATTTTGGTTTTTGCTTGGAGAGAACCTCACTTAGACAATTAAAAGTCACATTAATACTAACACAGACTAAAGATCAATACCACAAAGATGTTTAGTAACCAGCAGGATGGCTTTGAAAGTAAAAGGTGGCATTTGTTATACTCTTTAAAAGGAAAGCCAGTCATGCACAGTAGAGTCAAAGATTTTTACAACCCTCTCGGTTCTACTGATTGTGTCAAAGTGTTCATATTGGTTAAAATCAGAATTTTTTAAAAAAAAGTTGTCTAAGAGCATGAATTTCACTAAACTCCTTTTACAATAAAAGCTATCATGCTGCCCACTGACCTACCAGTGCCTGGTACATAATAGGCACTTGATAAAATAGCATTTAATTGATTAAATAAGCAAGGAGACAAGACTTTGTTCTATATGCAATCCACTAAAAAAAAAAAATGCCCACTACTATTACATACTTTGATCAACTAATATTTCTTAAGGGTTTACTATGTGTCATATACTGTGCTCAGTACAGGGTACAAACAAATAAAAAAGCAAAAACAATCCCTGCCCTCAGGGAACTTACATTTTTTCCCCTCTTAAAAAAAAAAAAATGACCAGGTATCCCATCTCACTCAAGCTGGAAAGGTAGGGACTCCTCATGGTCTTAAACCTACTCCTGATCAGCACAGGAATTCTGACCACCTCGGGAAGCCTGTGAACCCCCAGATTCTGGAGGCCCCCCATGTTCATGTTGACCTCAGTGCAGACCTCTGGGCCCACTGCAGCCCAGAATTTCCAAGTTCAAGAGATGGGACAGCCTCAGCCTGCCCAGCAGCTGGGATCACAGGTGTGCATCACCATGCCCAGTGAACATCTGGTCTAACATAGGAGACAACGTATAAATCTGAGTTTTCAAGAAAAATATAGTGGAGATAGAAGGGTATATGGAGGGGGAGGAAGAGACTGAAGCCTCAAAATGCTTACTCTGCCTGCACTTTGCAGAGGCAAAAGGAATATACAAAAAAGGTTATCCACATATTAATGATAAACTCTAAAGAGAGCCCAGAGTCCCTAAAAATGTGTGCTCCCTCCCATTTATTCTTTGCCAGAAAAAAATTGACTCCAGTGAACTCTCAAGGAGCTTTCTCTCCTGAAAACAAGTTATCCTAAATGGATATTGGGAAATGATGAGCAAAAAATGGAATCATATTCACAGAAGTTCACATGATCTCAGAAAGGATCTCTGCTAAGCAGCCCCTTAGCCACAGCCTTAACTTAAGAACTGGTCAGCCATCGTCCAGTGGGAGATCCTGAGGAAGCCCAGGCCATTCTTGTCAAGGCTTAATGTTGGGGCTCAATGTGGCCTCTCCAAAATTTCTCTACACAACTCTGTGTGGAATCACTGTTATGTGCTAAGATCTCTCAAGTGAAGAGAGAATCTTTGGAAAACAGAACCTTCACTGATGCATTACCTGCCTGAGATGACTTCAGGTGCTGCATAATTTGGAGACCCACAGCTTGTTCTTAGAAATTCACCATCTGACATCATATTTGATAAACCTGAAAATAAAAATATGGTTTACCTAGTGCTAAATATTTCTAATGTTTAAATATCATCATCAACAGCAGCTTTAGAACTGTCAGGGATATATTGCCTTTCCACATGTCATTCATCCTATTTTTTAAAATATTATCATGAACTACGTGAAAAGTAAATGGTTATGGGCATTTTCAAGGCAGAGGAGGTCATTTATTAATATTGCATTTTAAGACATGGAGGTAAGAAAAAAAATCTCATCAAAAGACAAATGAAATGTCAAAGCCTATGGAGCTTTGAAATGCTGGTCTATTTTTCACAATGCAATGATTTCAAATAAATTATTTACCAAATATCATCAGTTTCAGTTATAGTTTAAGTGAACCCTGCAGCCTGGGAGTATTTTGGCAATTTAAAGGTGGAAAACGCAGTCCACTGACTTACTTCAAAAACAAAACAAAACTCCTTTTAAAAGACCCCTGGCTCTGCCACTGCATATGCTTCTAGAAAAGTGACTTCTGAGCAGAAGCAGGAGAACACCGTAACAGCCACACTGTGCGATAACTTGACTCTTCTCAGCAATGCAAGGATCTAAGACAACTCCAAAAGACTCATGATGGAAAATGCCATCCACATCCAGAGAGAGAGCTGTGGAGTCCGAATGCAGATGGAAGCAGACTATTGCTCTCCTTTTCCTTTATTGTTTTGTTTTGTTGTTTCATTCTCATGGTTCCTCCCATTAGTTCTAATTGTGCTTTACAACATGACTAATGTGAAATGCATTTAATAGGAATGGATATGTAGAGCCTCTATCAGACTGCATGCCATCTTGGGGAGAGCGGAGGGAAAAGAGGGAGAGAAAATTTAAAACTCAAAATCTTATGGAAGTGAATGTTGAAAACTAAAAATATACAAATTAAGTTAAAAAGAAAAGAAAAGTCCCTTCCCATCTCTGGGCCTCAGTTTTACCATTTGCAAAAGAAGGAGTTAGTCTGGATGATCGCTAAGGTCTCTCCCAGTTCAAATGTTTTTTTTTTAATCAAAGTTTTATTGATGTTTTATTTTTACATTACAAATATGTACGGATTACCCCCAGTCCTTAAGAGGACTCTTATTAAAATGGAAAGCACTTAAGTAAAACTAACAATACATGGATCTCATTTCAAAGAGTATGCAACACTGCACTGCTGTAACATCTTCCCCATCTCAGTAGTTTTATTTTTTTTTAATTAACAGAAATCTATTTTCTCATTCTCCCACCTCCTACCCCATTGAAAAAAAAGAAAAAAAATATTTGTAATAAAAATTCAAAGTCAAGCAAAACAAATTCTCTCATGAGCCGTATGCAAAAATATGTCTCATTCTACCCCCAAACTCTATCCCCTCTCTTAGAGGAGGCGGGCCCCACATTTCATAATTGGTCCCTTGGAATCATGAAGATCACTGTACTGATCATGGTTCTTACGGCTTTCAAATGTCTTTGTCTTTACAACATTGTTGCTAGTATAGAACTTGTTCTCCTGAATCTGCTCATCTGATGCTTCCTCAGTTCCTAAAAGTCCTCAGAACTGTTCATTTTTCTATTACGGATGTTACGGCACAGACTGATCTGGCACTGCACACTTCCCTTGCATCAGTTCAGACAAATCTTTCCATGTCTCTGGAATCATCTATTTCCCCATTTCTTAGTGCGCAATAGTGTTCCCTCACATTCATATACCTCACAATTTATTCAATCATTCCTCAACGGATGGCCATCCCTTTAGGTTCCAATTTTTTGCCCCCCAAAAACTGCAACTAGATGGCGCAGGGGATAGAGTGCTGGATCTGAAGTCAGAAAGACCTGAGTTCAAATCTGGACTTAGACACTGACTCGCCGTGTAACCCTGGGCAAGTCACAACTTCCACCTGCCTCAGTTTCCACAACTACAAAATGGGGATAATGACAGCATCGACCTCGCTAGGTTACTGTGTGGACTAAATGAGATAATATTTGTTAAGCACCTAGCCCAGTGCCTGGCACTAATTTATTTATGACATATTTAGACCTTTTTATTGATGTCACATCCCCAGGCAGAGTTTACTTAGGTATAAGATGTGAGATGCTGGTCTCAATCTAATTTCTTCCATCTTTCTCCCAGTTTTCCCACCATTTTTGGTCACACAGTAAATCTGTATCCCAGGGGTTAGGGTGTTTGTGTTTCTCACATACAAGGGCACCAGACACATTTGTTCTTGTATGTTGTCTACCTAAATTGTTCCAATGACTGATCTCTCTGGTTTTTAACCAGCACCAAATTGCTCTGTGTCTAGTGTGAGATCTGGCACTGAGAAGCCTCCTTCCTTCCCACCTCCTTTCATTATTTCCTATGAGATTCTGGACCTTTTCCACCTCTATTTGAATTTTGCTGTTTTTTCTAATTCTCTAAAATAAGCCTTTGGTAGTTTGATTGCTATGGCACTGAATAAGTAAATTCATTGTGTTAGTATTGCTATTTTTATTCTATTGACTTATCCCTTCCATGAGCAATAAGTATTTTTTCAATTATTTAAGCCTGTTTCTATTTTTGTAAACAGTGGTTTCCTCTTGAATTTATATAATTTTAGGTATATTTTGAGAGATTCTCAAGTATTTTATACATTCTATACTTAGTTTCAATACTCTGAGTTGGGTTTTATTGGTGTTATGAGTTATATAGAAATGCTGATGATTTGTGTGAATTTATTTTGCATCCTTCAAATTTGTTAAATAATTGGGTTTTTTTTTTAGTTGATTCTATAGAATTCCTTAAGTACATCATCTCAGCATCTGCAAAAAGTGATCATTTTGCTTCTGCTTTACCTCCACTTATTTACTCAAGTTTTTTTTATATTTTCTTATCACTATACCCACCACTTCTAGCACTACATCAAATAGAAGTGATTACAATGCACACCTTTCATTGATCTCTGATTTTACTGGAGAGGAATCTAGTTTATTGGTTATAATGGTAGTTCTTAGTTTTAGATAATACTATTTATCATTTTGAGGAAAGTATTATTTATTCCTAGGTTTTCTAATGTTTTTTACAAGATGAATATTCTATTTTGTCAACAGATTTTTCTGTATCTATTGATATAACCACATGATTTTTATTCATTTTGTGACTAATATGGTAAAGTTTACAGTTTTCCAAATATTAAACCAACCCTGAATTCCTGGTATAAATCCAACCTGTATAATAGTGTATGATCTTTGTGATATGTTGCTTTAACCTCTTTTCTTAAGTTTTATTTTAAATGTTTGCATTGATGTTTATTAGGGATATGGACCAATAGTTTTCTTTTTCTGCTTTAACTCTCCCTGGTTTAGAATCAAGACCATGCTAGTGTTTAAGAAGAAACTTATTAGGATCCCTTCTTTTGGTATTTTTTGCAAACAGTTTTTGTAATAATGGAATTGTTCTTTGAATGTTTTATAGAATTCACTTGTGAATTTATCTGGTCCTACAGTTTTTCCCTTCGGAAGCTCATTTATGGCTTCTTTAATTTGTACCTATGAAAATAAGTTACTTTAGTTCTTTATTTCTTGTTTTGTTAATCTAGGTATTTTGTATTTTTTTAATATTCATTTATTTTATTTAAGTTGTCAGTCTTATGGGAATATAGCTGGGCAAAATACTTTCTAATAATATCTTTTATTTCTTCTTCATTATTATGAATTCTCTTTTTTCACTTTTGATACTGGTAATTTGATTTTCCTCCTCTTTTTGATCAAATTAGTTTTTTTTTAAAAAAAGGTCTTAGTTTTATTTAATTCTTTTTTTTCAGTTTTATTAATCTCTTTTTTACATTTAAGATTTATAATTTGGTGTTTACTTGGGGGGGGCAGTTTCATTAGTTGGTTTTCTAATATTTTTAAATGCATTCCCAATTTATTGATCTGTTCTTTCTATTTTTTTAATAAAAGTAGAGATATAAATTTTCCCCTAAGAACTATTTCAGCTGTATCCCTAAAATTGTGTTCTATTGCCTTGTTACTATCATTATCTTTAAGGAAACTATCGATTTGTGGTTTATTTTTTGACCCATCAATTCTTAGGAATTAAGTTATTTTCTCCAGTTGACTTTTAATTAATTTTTAAGCAGACCTCTTTTCAATGCAATTTTTACTCCACAGTGGTCAGTTATTTTATGTTCCCTAGATGGGACTTTACTAATCTTGTGTGTCAGGAGTATAGGGTACATATTTCTGAAGATTTTGTTGAACAAAGCCCCGCACACCACACGCCCGCAGAGCTTGCCAAGCCTTGAGTAGGGGGGGAATTGTCCCTACATTGGCACGCTCCCCCGAATATCAGCAGCCGCTTTCACATTTCTGGCACACTGTGGGAGTCACATACCAAAGTCGGCAATCTTGGCATTCATGTGGGCATCGAGCAGCACATTCTCGGGTTTCAGGTCTCGGTGAACAACCATGTGTCTGTGACAATAATCCACAGCAGAAAGAATCTGCTGAAAGAGTCTTCTAGCCTCCGTCTCTTCGACCTGCCAGCCCCAAAAGAAACAACAGTAAGATATACTGAATATTTACTCACTCACCAAGAGAACAGTGACTTCAGAATGTATCTTATGTTAAATGGAACTTATCAGAATTCTGTTCTTCATAAAAAAAAAAAAAAGACAAGAAACAAACACAAAAACCTTTCTATTAGAAAAACATGAAAACTGATTGGCATATCCTGATGCAGAGGTCATTTTCATTTTCTGGGTGCCTGGAGAAGGCTGAGAACTAGATGAAAGAGCCTGATCTGAAAAGGTGCACTCATCGAGGCATTTGTGCCCAATTACAGATGCTGAAAAGGACATTCTGTAGTGTCTGTTGTGATGTGGAATTCCCTTCCTAAAAATCACAACATAATCTCTACATGTTTCATAAATCAAGTGAATCTTTAAAACTTGGCAAAAAAAAAAAAAAGGGGGACCCTTCCAAGAACTTCATGTTTATTTAAAATTCAGTGTGTTTGCTTAGAGAAAACTATTGAGACAACCCCAATTCTGAAAGTGTCATACATGAAAAGAACATTGATATATGGCAGTTTTTTAAAGATATTTGAGGTCTTCCAGATGGAATCAAATATTTAAAACTAAAAATCCTATAACATTACAAGAATCCATTAAAACACACGCGCACACACACACACACACACACACACACACACACAAACTATCCACCAACATCTTTGTCTTCTTTGGCCTAATGTACTGAATATCATGTCACTCACCCGTCCATGTTTACAGATGTAGTCAAATAATTCACCACCAGACACATATTCCATTACCATAAAAAAATCAGTTGGGGTGCTGATGACTTGGTAGCTTTTAGAGGAAAATGGAAAGAATTTAGAAAATTTTAGTTTACAGAAAAATGACTTTCAACATCAATGGCTTTTCCTAGTACTATAAGAGACTATAATATTTTTGGGCAATTAGAAATGCAATCATTCTATCTTAGGTTATACTTTCCACTAACCCCACCAGAATCCTTCTAAAACAATTTCTCTTTTAACGAGTCTCTTAAAAAAAAAAAACCAAACCTATGCACCTTCGAATTATTTCACAAAACAAAATGACTTTCTCCTAAAAGACAGCACTGTTACTCCAGGCTTTTTTTTTTTTAAATCCATAGCTCCCATGTCTATGATGTTCACAAAGTACTTTCCTCACACCAATGGTGCAAGAGAGGGAATGTTGCTATTATTTCCTTTTGGTAGAAGAGGAAACAGAAGGCAGAGGGCTGAGACTGCCTCGCCTAGGTAGGGCCAGATGGCATAATCCAAGACTCTTAACACAAACTTTTTGTAAAACACAGGCTTTGGGTTTTAAGTATGGTGCTCTTTATACAAAGCCACTCTGTCCCTCACTGGAAAAAAAAATGAGAATAGCACATATTCCTTTCTTTCAAATAATTTCAAGTTGAAGAGAGCTCAGAAGCCATCCAGTACAAACAGTGTCTATGAAAAATCCCCATTCCCAGACGTCCAGCGAGGTAGAACCTACCGTCTTTCCCCAAGGCACGTCATACCATCCCACACCAAGGCATACTGTTGGATAGCTCTATACATCGAGCTGAAATGGACGTTGCTCAACGTCTAGTGGAAGTCCCGTTCTCAGAAGACCAGTCCTCCTTCCTCATCATATCTCTGAAGATACCGTAAAGGGGTAATTGGCTTCCAAGTCCAACAACTAAATATGTTCAATTACTTCAATTAATTCTTACACGGAATACTCTCCAGTGCCCTCGCCTTCATCAACTCTAGCCTCATCTTGACTTCAAAGCTATCCAACCTTTGACACTCCTGCCATCCCTCAGCCTGGATCACAAAATCTCAGAGTTAGAAGGGAATCCGGAGGCCATCGAGTTAACTGATATAGTTAAGTGTCTGAGGCAATATTTAAACTTAGGTCTTTCTGACTCCATGTCCAACCCTCTAACCACCATACTACCTCAAATCTAGTATCTCTCACATTGAGGTGCATCACCCAATCCTATACCAACACAACTGTGTTTTTTCCCCCATTCCAGTGTAGATTTTATACTTGTCCCTTTCAAATCCCTTCCTTTTAGATAGTAATATAGATAGCAATTCTAGCCTAACAAAATTCTGCCTCAGTCCTCCAACATCAAGTTCCTTGTTTTCTGAAAACACGATAAGCTTCACATGCTGTGACCACCAAGACACTGACAAAAGGGTTGATAAGCATAGGGTCCAGGACAGAGACTACACTGCCCAAGCAAGGACTGTGAGCACAGTGACTCTTATCCTTCCATCATTGGCCTAGGAATGGTAGAATCACTGAACTCATTCCAAATCCAGTGAAATGGGCACTGGACATTTAGCTCCCACCTTCCTGCTCGTCCACAAGGACAGAGGAAGAGACTGTGTCAAAGGCCTTCAGGAAATGGAAGCACACTGCCCACCGCACCGTGCACCCCTGAGAAAAGGAAAGAAAGTCAATGGACAGGGCTCATCTGGATTCCCATTGCTGCTGCCTCTTATACTAGCTGGGTCTCCTTCTTTGGGGCTCATCCCTTCCAGACCTTAGGGATCAGCATGTGAATTGTAAAGGCATTCTGAATCACCGATAGTAATGAATGTTTGTATATGCATCTATACATTTTAAAACTAAATCAGGGTTTTCAGATCAAGGAGCTATGGTCTAATGGGGAAAAAAAATAGATCTGGATTCAGAAGACCTGAGTTAAAATCTTGGTTCTTTCACTTACTAGTGGTGTGATTTTAGGAAATCACTTAACTGCTGTGTGCCTCAGTTTCCTCTTCTGTAAAATAAAAACTGTACTACTCACCCCACAAGGTAGCTGTGAGGATCAAATAAGGAAAGTGTTTGAAACACTGTAAAGCGCTATTATGATGCCAGCTGTCATTCCTATAAGTTCATCATTGGTAAATGGATTACCATGATCTGGGATAATTGATTCTCACCTCATATCTAGTTTACGCTTAATTATTTACTTCAATTAAAGAGATAGGATGTGATAGAATGCCATAAAAATTGGTCAGGAAGATAGCAAAGTACATACATGTACACACACACACACACACACACACACAGCCCTTCACCTCAAAACGTGAAATTTCCACATATAGATTCAATACAGAAAGACATCATAATACATAAAGCATCGAAGCTACAATATCAAAAATGCCACATTCTGGAATTTATGTAAAACTTTTCCATTAGTAAACATTATTACACATTGCATGTAGAAGGCCTTAAATAAGTGCTTCAGAAACGGGGAGGATACAATATTATTTAACCTTTATTTGCCTCAGTTTCCTCAGCTAGAATATGAAGGGCATGCATAGTCTCAATGGCTTCTGAAGTCATTCCAGGTCTAAAGCCTTATAGCTTATGGCTTCGTTTTTCTGTTCTTTTAGCCAAATAAGAGTTCTAGAGACTCCTGCTTTACAATACAGTTGGAGGTCTGGTAATGCTTTATAGCATTGCCCCTCCATGACTACTTCTCATTATTTCTCTTGGGATGCTAGGGTTTTTATTCTTCCGAATGAATTCTACTACCGTGTCTACTTCTAAAAAGCCTCTCCCTCTCCACCAACCCTTGCAGTAAGCCTTAAACCTGTAAACTGATACCGGTAATGTCATTTTTCAAATACTGGCATGACTTGATCATGAGCAGTGAATATCTCTCATTATTTGTTTCCTTTTATTTCTATAAAGAATGTTCTATAGTTGTATTTTTACAAATCTTATATATATATTTGTAGGTTAACTTTCTAGATATTTTATGCATTTTGTAGTTATTTGGGATGGAATGCCACTTATTTCTTTCTTGGTTTTGGTTAGTATGATTTAAAAAGCTGATGATTTTTACGGATTGTAGTATCCTTCTAAAGGCTGGTAGGTGGCGCCATAGTGCACAGAGCGCTGGGCCTGAAGTCAAGAAGAGGCATCTTCCCAAGTTCAAATCCGGCTTCAGACACTTACTAGCTGTGTGACCCTGGGCAAGTCATTTAACCCTGTTTGCCTCAGTTTCTTCATCTGTAAAATGAGTTGGAAAAGGAAATGGCAAACAACTCTAATATCTTTGCCAAGAAAACCCCAAATAGGGTTACAGAGAGTCAGACACTACTGAAATGATTGAACAACAAAAGGTAGTAGCATCCTACTACCTTGCTGAAGCTGGTAATCAATCCAGTTAGTTTCTCTGATTATTCTCTGAGGCTCTGAATATACCATCATTTCATCTGTCCACATGGATAATTTTATTTCCAATTTTAAAACGTTTAGACCTTTAATTTTATTCTCTCTGCATATTTCTGTAGCTAGCATTTCTGGAATCATATCAAATAATGGCGGGGGGGGAGCAGCCTCGCTCCACTCTCGTTTGTAATAGGCACGCATTTAATGTTCCTTCATTGCAAACAATAGCTTTGGGTTTTAAATAAATGTTTTTAATAATATTAAAGTCCTTCTACGCTTTTCCCTTGGGAAATTTTTAATATAAATGAGTGTTGTCTTTTTTTAAAGACTCTGTTCTGCAGTTATACAATTAATCATGTAGTTTTTTATATTTTTCTTGTTAACATAATTGAATAGATAAACTGTTTTCCCAGTGTTGAACAATCCCTATATTCCTAGTAAGAATCCTTGGTCAAAATGAATTATTATCTGTATATATTGTTGCTGTCTCCTTGCAAGATTTCTAAAAAAATTTTCCATTCTGGGCATGTTTGTAGACAGATAGGAAGGAGCCAGGAGAGAGTCAAAAATTGAAAATTAGAGCAATGGAACTCACTGGAGGAGCGGGAACAACAGTAGAGATGGAGGGACTAGTCCTGGTAAGAATGGTCATCTCTTCCCCAGAAATTGAAGTAAAGGAAGAGGAAACGGAAGATGATGACAAGTGGTCTTGACGTGGTGGAGAAGGGAAGGCCAGGGAGCTCACAGACGACATCAACTGTTATCTAATAAAGTATGAGGCGAGGTCCTCTGGTGGAAGGGATCATGGAGGGACGAGGTCTGAGTACCCTGGGAAATGAGTTAGATAGTCAATTCAGACCAGGATGCCGGAAGGGGAGGCAAGCTTTTCGGGTCCCACATAGCTACTCTACACCAAATAATGATCAAAAAGTCCAATATAAAACTACAGCCAGTGAATCCTCCACCTCAGAACTAAACAAAAAGTCAGACAGAAAGAAGTCCAAGGGCAATGAGAAAGGAGGCTATAGGGGCAGCTAGGTGGCACAGTGGATAGAGCACAGGCCCTGAAGTCAGAAGGACCTGAGTTCAAATCTGACCTCGAACCAAACACTTGACATTAACTAGCTGTGCGACCCTGGGCACAAGTCACTCAACCCCAATTGCCTTTAAAAAAAAAAAAAAAGAAAGAAAGGAGGCTATAACACCAGCACAGGACCGCCTCCAAGCATCTGTCTCAGTTTCCTCATCTGTAAAATGGAGATAGCAAGTGTGCTTACCTACCAGGTTGTTGTTAGGATAAAATGAGATGAGATATTATATGCAGCTATTACTACTGCTGCTGCTGCTATTACTATTACTACCACTCTTCTTCAAACTATAGACAACACAGAAAGATGTTAAAATTATCCGATACAGATACCTACATGAATAATATTTAAATATTTCTGCAATTATAACCAGTATGAAAGCATTCTTTATGGTGACTTTGTGATTATTGTCAAATACTTTAATTGGGCTTTCTCTTTTCCTCAATTCTTTAGAAATTCTTTGTCAAATCTTGATCAGTTGGACTGTTCAGATCATATCTTACAGAGTATAGTAAAAATAAAGATCTTTTTTTAATAATTGGAGAC